TTCTTTAATATAAGTCTGTCGTATAAGAGAAGTAACTGGGAGTGAGATATGCCCCTTTATCGTACAGGACTGTGTGGTGTACTGATACGACCTACCGTACTAATACGACACCGAGATAGTAAGTGGCTACACGTCCAAGAAACGTTTTCATACAACTGAAAAAGGAACTTTTATTGGTAGCCATCTTGAAATCCAATATGGCGGCCTTCTAACATAATTTCCTGATGATTGCATGATACTCTCTGATTTTAAAAACATGGTTAAAGGTGTGATTGACTGTATTACGTTACTGTATATATAAATTAACAATATATTGGCAGCAATCTTGAAATCAAATATGACGGCCATTTGACATAATTTCCAATGATTGCATAATACTCCCTGATATTAAAAACATAGGTAAAGACCTTTGAATGACAGTGTTAAGTGTGTAAAATAAATAAGTACGGTAAGTAAATATGAAGATTGTTGATAAAAATCCAATATTTTGGTGGCCATTTTGAATTTCAAGATGGCGGCCACTAAGCAGCTTATTTTTGGGGTCTATTTTTTTTAACAATCACATTAAAAAAAAAATACTGTATGTATTTTTTTATTGTAAAAAAAATTAAAATTTAGAATGCCAATAAATTAAATGATGCAGATATAGACTAGTTTACCCTCCAATTCGAGACGCCTCCAATTCAGAGAAACCTCTAATTAAAGACCACTTGCAAAAAATCAAATAACAATTGTCAATCTTCATAATACAAACCCACCCCTCTAATTGGAGGCCGAACCCCGAGACCACACTAAGTCTTCAAGTCCCAAAAGGAGTCTGCAATTGGAGGGCGAACTGTATTTACCTGTCACATACATGAATTCATCTCTTGTACTTACGTGGAACAATTCACAGGTATTGGTAGTAACTAATTGGTGCTCCAGTACCATATTCATTGAAAAGAAAAAAATAATATAAACCAGTGGCGGATCTAGAGGGGTGAATAGGGTGGTTTGTGTGTTTCTCGTAAATACATGACAGTGGCCGATTGGAGGGATAAGGCCAGCAGGCCTGGGCACCCCCCACTATTTTTTTTTTCAAAATTGTAAAAAAAAAACAAAAAAAAAAAACAACATTCAAATTTGAAGTCTGAGAGTGCTATTTCATGCCTTCTAGTCATCTACTTTTTCCAAAAAAAAAAAAAAAAAATATCTCAAATAGGGAGGGGAAGTATAAACCTCAAAAAGCACCCCACCCACATTTCGGTGCTTCGTACCTTGCATTAACGCCCCTTTGCTAAATCATAGATCCGCCACTGATCTGCCCTCTATATAGACAGACAGTCAGAGACAATGTAACATGAATCAATCATTAAATCAATAATGATAATTTTTAAAAAGTACATTTACCCCTTATCACTTTCACATTCAGCTCATTATAACATGTAGAGTAGCCATTTTCTACTTGGTGCTCACGTACCGTATTCATCACATAAAAAAATAATATCAATTATTCTCAAATTTATAATGCTTAATTGTGCTATAATTATTAGTGGCCTAATGTGACAATGGCAGCACTTTATATATACGTGTTTGTTCTTCATAGGAGTCTCGATAATTATGGTTAACCGTCTTGAAGTTTATCGAATGCAGTTCGATAAACGTCAGTCCCTGAATTATAGTACTGCACCAATCAATTCGAGAACCTTTAATTCCGAGACTACTCTATTTCGAAACCACTTTTTCAAACAATTGGAGACCGAACCCCTAGATCACCTTCAATTTTGAGGCCACAGAGTGGCCTCGAATTGGAGGGCAAAGTGTATAGTAAAAATATTATGATGGTTCCTACCTTTAATTTGTGGAGGAGTTGTAGAACGAACACCTGCACATCTAATGACCACTACAACACGTGCTCCGTTTTTTATATATTAAAAACAAGGAAGAAATTTCTAACAATATATCAATAAAACATTCAAATAATTTCACCATTTAAAGTACTCTACAAAACTGTAATCGGTCTTTTAGTAATAATAATAGTATATATTATGCCCATAGTATGCCATATCCAAATTTATCCATCACATACATCAGGCTATGTTGCTAACTGATCCGTTATGTTGGTTCCTATCTGTAATTTGTGGAAGAGTTGTAGGACGAACACTTGCACATTTAAAGTCATTTCAGCACGTGTATTATAGTTAATTTTCGGTTGGAAAAAAAAAATTTCAAAAAAACATATCAATAAAATATGTAAAATAAAGTCAAAGTCTAATCATTACTATAATAACATTACAGTATGCCAATATCCAACACATTACAGTAGGTTAGGTATTGATAACAGTACAGATACGTTATGTTGGTTCCTACCTGTAATTTGTGAAATAGTTGCAAGACGAATACTTCCACATCTTAGCGATTCCCCACTTGATGCTCCGTTTGTTGTAACAAGAAAATAATTTCAAAACAAAATATAAATGAAACATTCCAAATAATATCAAATGTTGGACCAATTTATAGAAATGTAATCATTATTATAATTGTGTATAGTATGCAAATATCCAGCACATACACTTGACTAATTAGCACTGAAAGAACTAAAAGTATTATTTCAGCATAATGACAAAATAATTAAATAAATAAAATAAAAAAGTGTAGATAACAATCAGTATCCTTATTTTCGTTCCTACCTGTAATTTTTGAAAAAGATGTAGGGCGAATACTTGCACACTAAGGCAAACACCAGTATGGTAACGACTTCCAAGTTATGGCTCCGTTATTTTTGCAAAAAAAAAAAGAAGCAATTTCCAAACAGTTTATCAATAAAACAATCAAATTAATGTTGAATTTTGGACACTTTATAGAGCTGTAATCATTATTATAATATTATATAGCAAGGACTAGAGTAGGCCATGTGCTGAAAACAATATTGTTCTTACATGTAA